GGCATCTATGTCAGGCATTTTGTGAGTGGGCAACTATTTGTGAAATGAGCCTTACCACATCCTCCAAATGCACTTCCAGTCTCAAATCTATCTCCGAGATAACAATAATCATATCTATATGTGGAGTAGATACCATTTATTTATTTATTTACTCATTCATTCATTCAATCATACATTCAATCAATCAATTATTTGTTTATTTTAAATGTATATGCCCCACCCCCCATCTTCCTGTCCAGGGAGACTGGCTGGCTTCCTACACATGGAATCTCATTCACATGAGGCCAGCAAATTGGTCTAGCTCAGTGATAGTTAACCTTTTTGCCATTGCATGCCAAAAGCGGGGGAGCATGGGGGGGGGTTGTGTGCGTGCATGCCCACATCCATAATTCTATGTGCCCTGCCTCCAATGCATGCACATGCGACCACCACCACCCCTGCGCTCCCTCCGCTTTTGGCATGCGATGGCACAGTGGGCCTGGTAGGCCCATTTTTCACCCTCCCCAGGCTCCAGAGGCTTTCTAGGAGACTGGGGAGGGCAAAAACGGCCTCCCCCCCCCGGAGGCCCTCCGGAGGCCGGAAATGACCCGTTTGCCAACTTCTGGTGGAACCAGAAGGCCCGAAAAACAGCTGGCCGGCGCATGCGTGTTCTCCGGAGCTGAGCTCGCATCCCCACCGATATGACTGCACAGGTGGCACACGTGCCATAAGTTCGCCATCATGGGTCTAACTTATGAAGAATGAAGAAAAGCACAATAATTGTCAAGGGTATCGCAGATATTAGGTCCATAAGTCCTATCAGTCTCAAATTGTTTGAGGCAGTATTGTTGTGGGACTGATGGACATTCTGGGCTAAAACTCTGACAAGGTTCAGATTTCGGGGAGGCTAATTAAAACCTTGTTCAAATACACACATCTGTGGAGAAGAAAGGGAAAAGAAAGCGGGAATAAACACTAAACTGAAAGTGTTTGAACAGGTCTACAATATAGTACTGTACTAAGACACAAGATAACTGAAAATATTAAATATTAAAATTATTACGAACCTTTCAATCATGCATCTTAAATTACAAGAATTTAAGGTGGTATCAATTACTTTGTATCAAACTCAGATATTACTGAGATATATTAGATATATACACAAGTATTGGAAAATATTAAATGTTTGTGCATGCTAGTGCTCAGAATTGAACTACATATTGTTAAACTCCAATTCTAAAAGCTGCCCAAGTTGGGAGAGTGGAAAACAAGCCTGTATTTCCTCAGTCAGATCCACTGCTTCTATTTCCATTATATTCAGCCTAGAGAACTTAAAATATATTAAGAACGGAATTCCAGAGATTAAAATAAACTTATTGTGCAAAAGGCAGTCTTCAAGACATTTTGCTTATTAAGAGCTTCTACATGAAGTCTGGATGTTTAAAAACTAAAACCATATTTTTAAAATGCAAACCAAATGAGCGGTTGCTTTGTTTGGACAAAAGCAAAGGGGGTAGATTGTGTTTTATTATGTATATTGTAAATTATTCTGTTAGAAGAGAACATAGCTGAAATGGACCATAACCTATTCTAACTAAAACTTTTTTTGTATCTTATGTAGCCCAATATAGTGACAAGTGCATGCTTGTATGTGTGCCAAAAGTTAAAACATAAATTTGTTTTCAACAAATTTACTCAGCCTATTTACTTCATTTCTTGACTCTGAGAGAAATGTTCGTGAGAAATCTAATCTACAGAAACAAGCAAACACAGCCTGTGTTTTGGTGCCCTCTATTGAATGCATACACAGACGAGATTTCAAAAGGAATTCATGAAAAATTCAACCTACAGTAACGTGCAGTAGATGAGGCTGCCCCTTCTTTCCTTTTAAAAAGAAAGCAACTTCTGAATCTTAAAGGCTGAATACACAGTTAATTAAACTTAAATAGACTCTGTTTAAAATATGCTCAATGAAACCAAATGGGAAAAGATTACATCCCATTAATTTCAGTGGCTTTCGCCCATGGATTGTTGGAAAATAACTACTCCAACTCCTCAATAACTTACTATTTTCTTGAATAGGAAACAAAACCTCCAGAAACAAATTTTTATTGTATTTAAATGGAGAGAAACAAAAGTAAACATTCTGAGCTTGAAACAGCTGTTTAAGTGTTACAACTTTTCTTCTACTCTGATTTAGTTTACAGATAGTCCTCAACTTACAACAATTCAATGACCATTCAAAGTTACAACGGCACTGAAAAAAAGTAACTTATGGCCATTTTTCACAGTTACTATATTTGCAGCATCCCAATGCTAACGTGATCAAAATTAAGATATTGGTAACTGTTTCATACTTACGACCGTTGCAATGTCCCAGGGTCATGTGATCCCCTTTTGCAACTTTCTGACAAGCAAAGTCAATGGGGAAGTCAGATTCACTTAACAACCAGGTACTAACTTATCAACTGCAGTGATTCACCTAACAACTGTGTCAAGAAATGTTGTAAAGTGGGGCTAAACTCACTTAACAAATATCTCATTAACAACAGAAATCTAGGGGCAATTGTGATCGTAAGCTGAGGACTACCTGTACTTGTTTAATTCCTTTAACCATGGAAACTTGCAGAGAACCTTAGCAAATTACAGGCACAAAGTTAATTTTTTCCTTCTATAAACTACTAAAAGGATGAATTGGGACACAAGGTAAGTTAAATGCAGGTTCCTAGATTGGAAGCCATTTGGGATATAAACAACATCAGAACTACTGTTGTCTAGAAATCAGTTGGCATCTATGGTATTCTTGGTTCTTTCCTTTTTATGTATTTCATACTTGAGTACCCATGCAAGATAGCATTGCTGCACTGTGCAAGAAAAAATCAATTCTGCTCTTCTAATCTGATAGCTTCCAGGAATTAGAGACCTGCCAGTAGTAGTGAGCCACCACTGGTGAGTCTTCAAGAAGTGACAAGGACAAAGTTCATGACTGACTCAGCCTTTCATCCTTCCGAGGCCGGTAAAATGAAGACCCAAATTGTTGGGGGGCAATATGCTGACTCTGTAAAACACTTAGAGAGGGCTGCAAAGCATTATCAAGTGGTATATAAGTCTAAGTGCTATTGCTATGAACTTTTCATCTGGGATCTGATATGGGAAGGAGGTAATGGAAAAAATACGATTTCTCCGAACTTGAAAAAATGATAATTTGTTAATAGTGTGAGCACAAGCTATTACAAAGGTGAGCTGACCACTTTATCATAAGGTGATTAGCAAGAGGTTCAAGAAATTCCATCCTAAAGAATTTAAGAGATAAATATATCAGTTATCCAGTTATCAATAGTAATCGATAACTCTTCTTTCTGCATAAATCTTGTTAAAGAAGATTCCAAGAGGGCTTTGATTCTAGTTATAAGTGGCTGCTAAATGTTTGAAAAATAAAAATAGGATAAGCTATTACAGAAAAAGTGAGCTCAGTATTACTCAAATTCAAATATTTGAATTTGTGATACTTCTATACCTTGACAAGATAGTATATCACATCAAGGTATAGGATAGAAGATATAAATCGATATAAATAAAATATGAGGATAGCTAACTAGAGCAACTTTGTTACACGTTCAGGAACAATCTGACCAAACATATCATAGGTTTTATTGGGAGGTTTATGCTGCAGTAATTAAGTAGAAGGAAAAAGCAGTGGAACTTCTCTCTAGGTGAATCCACAGAGAACTATCTTAATAGTGTTCTAGCTGCCAGGTGGAAAATCAAACTTCCCAAACATTTGGCTGATGCCCTGATGCCATCTGAGCTGTTATGATCAACTGGGTGGTCTTTAGCAAACAAGTTCACTTGGATTTATTCCAAGCTCAATGTCATTTGGGGCAAAATTACATGTCTTATTACCATCTGTCTGATGTCATCAATGTGCTGGTTATATTCAGCTAATAACCTCAAGCTTGAACTATTTTATTGTGCTCTTCCTAGGAGGTCTTGAAATGTGAAAAAAATGTAGCTAGGCTCAACCAGGGCAGGATGGCTGATGAATGGAGCCTTCTTGAGATCCTTGATTATTTCCATGTTGAAATAGTTCATTGGTTGCCAATTGTCTTTCAAATCTAATTCAATATGCTGATGATGTTACTTTACATAGTTTACAGCCAAGCTAATTACAGGACTCTTGTTTCCATATAATCTATCACATGCTCCAAATCATCAATATACCATGGATATGTTTGGCATCAAAAACTAGTTTAGTTTTCTCTTTGTAATTTAGGAGATATCTCAAAGTCTTTTATGTTTTAGCCTTCATGTGGAGATGATTTCCTGGCCTGGACTACCTAAAGGATAGTAATTAGTAATTAGCTATTGTATAGGTCATCAAATTCATGTTCCTTATGCTCCAAAGCAGCTTTCTAAAAGCAAAACGTTTAAGTTGATTTTTTTAGAAAGAAAATATAAAGCTAGTGTTAACATTAATGTCAATAAATATAAATCTTTAAATTCTCCAAGAACCACAAAAAAAGAATCATGTGGCCAATGGCCTGTCCTGCTTTACCTTATCTGATGAATGCCTAATATTCAACTATTGAAAGCTTAATTGCCATTTTAAAAAAACAACATCAAAGAGAATACTGATTCTATTACCTCCACATGACTGATTATGGAACATATCTTTGCCTTGTATGGACTTCAGCTTTAATTAAATTCTATTGCTTTTCTTCACGCTGCTAAAAAGATTAATTCATGTATTGCTATTTTAAAACATCTTGGCTTTCAAATTCAATAATAACAATACACTATTTAACAAATTGTTGGCTCAAAAAAGAAAACAAAAATGCAAGAATAAAGAAAGCATGTGTCCTATGTAATCTTCCTCCATACATTAGAAGTGCAAATTCATAATTGTGGCCACAAGGTGGCTGCCGTGTACAAGAGATGAACTGGTATTGCAGGTATAGGAAATTTAACAATTTCATTAAAGTCAATAAGCAACAAACAACTCTCAAAGCCAATCTACTCACTTTTGGAGAAATTCTTGCAAACCTTGGCGACGCTGGTCCACATGTTGAGAATTATTTGAATTAAAAAAGGGAGTTTTAGGTGGAAGGTCTGGTAATTGTCTTTAAAAAAAGAAAAGAATAATTAGTGTTCCAAATGAAAATATACTTTACAAAAGAAATATTGGATTCTTATCAAAAAAAGAAATGAAAAAAAAGAGAGAAAATGGATTCACTAATTGAATTGACTATGATTACTAAGTCAATTCAAATGTCAGCTCTGTTCATTTGTTGTTGAAAGTGGTCTTAGGCTATAGTATACACATACACACACACACACACACACACATATATGTTATATATATAACAAAATATATATATATAATATAATATATAAATATATAAGAGAGAGAGAGAGAGATAAGGCAGAAGATACAGAACAATTAAAATCCGGACCACACGTTTTCTGAATAGTTTTTATTCCAGAGCTATAATTGCACCCAACAATGAACTAAAGGATCACCATCAGTGAGCTGTTGCACAGCATTATTTGGTCTGTTGTGTGGATGTTTGGATGGTTTAGGGGTGAAAAATTGTGGTGGGTAGGAGTGTGTTTGGGAATTGTTATGTATGTTGGACCTGGTCTTTGGGTGTTAAGTGAATTTTGTTGTATGGGTATACTGTGTATACCCATACAATGACAATAAAGTTATTATTATTATTAGTTAAATATAAAGAGTTTCATAACCCCCAGTAAAGACAACTGCTTTTTACAACCCAAAGAAAGCTGGTTACTTTATAATGAGTTGACAGAATTGAGATTGGTGTACAAGTAGTCCTCAGCTTACGACCATAATTGACCCCAACTTAGCTCAACATTTGAGCTAAGTGAGAAAATTGTTAAGTGTATTTTACTCCATTTTATTTATTTATTTATTTATTTGTTTAAATTTCTATACCGCCCTTCTCCAATGTAGGACTCAGGGCGGTGAACAGCCAAAGTAAAAACAAGACATACATACAAACATACAAAGTCTAAAAACTGTTTAAAATAATTAAATAATTTTGGCCGTGATTAAAACATTCCAATTTAAAATCCATTTAAAATTTGACTCAAGCCAGCCCAGCTAGTTGGAATAAATGGGTTTTCAGGGCCCGACGAAAAATCCGGAGGTCTGTTATTGTACGTAGCTCTGGGGGGAGGTTGTTCCAGAGGGCGGGCGCCGCCACAGAGAAGGCTCTCCCCCTGGGGGTCGCCAGCCGACATTGTCTGGCGGACGGCACCCTGAGGAGGCCCACTCTGTGGGAGCGTACTGGCCGGTGGGAGGCTATTGGTGGCAGAAGGCGGTCTCGTAAGTACCCCGGCCCTAAGCCATGGAGCGCTTTAAAGGTGGTCACCAACACCTTGAAGCGCACCCGGAAGACCACCGGAAGCCAGTGCAGCTCGCGCAGGAGAGGTGTCACGTGGGAGCGCCTCGTCGCCCCCAAAATCCCCCGCGCGGCCGCATTCTGGACCAGCTGGAGCCTCCGGGTGCACCTCAGGGGGAGCCCCATGTAGAGAGCATTGCAGTAGTCCAGGCGGGAAGTGACGAGTGCCTGAGTGACTGTGCGTAGGGAGTCCCGATCTAGAAAGGGGCGCAACTGGCGTATCAGGCGAACCTGATAAAAAGCCCCCCTGGCCACGGCCGCCAAATGATCTTCTAACGACAGCCGTGCGTCCAGGAGGACGCCCAAGTTACGAGCCCTCTCCGTGGGGGCGAGTGATTCGCCTCCAATAGCCAGCGATGGCGTCAGCTGGCTATATCGGGACGCCGGAAGCCACAGCCACTCGGTCTTGGAGGGGTTGAGCTGGAGCCTCTTTATAAATTTTCTTGCCACAGTTGTTAAGTTAGTTACATGGTTGTTAAGTGATTTTCACTTCCCCATTGACTGCTTGTCAGAAGTTCATAATAGGTGATCACATGACCCTGGGACACTGCAATTATCATTAACATGAGATACTTGCCATCCATCTGAATTTTAATCACATGACCATGAAGATGTTGCAATGGTCATAAGTGTGAAAAACATCACAAATCACTTTTTTCAGTGCCGATGTAACTTTGAATTATCACTAAATGAACTGTTGTAAGTCAAACACTGCCTGTATTTCATTTGATTTTTTTAAATTTTCTAAATATTGTAAGCTTTTAAAATGCCTTTTATCTGTAAATTAGTGACAAATCCACTTTTTACAATTTCTGTCAAAACCTCTAAAATGTCTAGGAGCTGCAAAATAAAAAAAAAGGATTGGATGGTCTCCTGTTGTTCATGAAATCCAGGAGTATTGCTATTTATTGTATATGATCTATTGGATTATCCCGTTGGTCCAGGAGTATTATTTATTGGATACGTTATTGGATTAAAATTATTCTGTTCTATCCCAAGAAAATGACATTCCCTCCTAGGAAAGGGTCATTCCAAGTCTGAGGTAAAAGTCAAGGATAAAGAAAAGCCCTTGAAAACAATGACTCAACAATGTATAAATTCAGGGTTAGGAAGGTTTTAAAATAGTTTGATGTGATACTGTATTGATAAACTGATTTGTGAATTACCACATGTGTGGATCAGAAGATATGGTTTGTTAAATACCAATTCAGTGAAAGCTGTTATTCTGTTTCCTGAAATTATGCTAATTACTGAAGTGTTGGGAAATGGGAACAGACAAGCAACTCTAAACACATATTCTTTTATATGCGGACTATTTGACCATGCATATTATTATTTGATGCTGCTGTAATGTCTTTGATGATGTCTTTCCTTCTTCTGGGTCTGCCTTGTGCTGTTTGATCTTCTCCCCTCTGGGACCTATATGGTATGCAATTCCCAGACATTCTCTCAAGATGGACAAATCATTTTATTTGCCTCTTTGTATGCAGTTTAATATTGGTTCTATCCCAATTCTGTCCCTTATAATCTCATTCCTGATTTTATCCCTTCTAGTTATTCCAGCAGCTTTCCTCAAACATCTCATTTCTATAGTAACTTTCATTTATGTTTTATTGTAAGTGTCCATGTTTGGCACTGGTTACATAAGGTGGTGGTGAATATGCTTTGAATGAGATGCTCCTTAGTTCTAATGAGTACTGCCTTATGTAGTAGGACTGGAGCTACCTACCCCAATACTTGGTTTGTGGTTTGCCTTACTGCATTGCATGTTATTTTCCCTAGATGCTGGAATTATTTCTGTTGGTAACCCATTCTTGTGAATTATATTTATGTGACTCTTTAACAAATCTTGCTACATGTTCAATCAATAATTCTGGTTTTAGTGCTATTATATTGTAGTCCTGCATGGTTTCCTCATGATACTTTCCTAAGGGATTAAGTAGTTCTTTGAAGCATTCTTTCCACCTTTCTATTATTTCTGATAGTTTTATTAGTGGCCTTCTGTTCTTATCATTAATTATTTCTGTGGGGTTATAATTCTCCTCTTTTTCCATATACTTTTGACGATTTTGTAATTGATTCTTGTTTTGCTTTCTTAATCATCCTGTTGGTATCTCTACACTATAATCTACAGTTTATGTAATCTTCTTTCTCTGATTTTATCAACATTTATACAGGTAGTTCTCAAGTTGGACCACAACTGAGCCCAAAATGTATGTTGTTAAGTGAGACATTTTATAAATTAATTTTGCCCTGCTTTATGACATTTCTTGGCAAAGTTGTGAAGTGAATCACTGCAGCTGGTAAGTTAGTAACCTGGTTGTTATATGAATCTGGTTTCTCCATTGACTTTACTTGTCAGAAAGTTGCAAAAGGGGATCACATGACCCTAGGATGTTGCAACGGTCATAAGTATGAAACAGTTGCCAAGCATAAGAATATTGATCACGTGATCATGGGGATGCTGCAAAGGTTGTAACTGTGAAAAAAAGGTCATGTCACTTTTCCTACTGCTGTTATAACTTCAAATGGTCACTAACTGAATTGTTGTAAATTGAGGACTACCTGTATAACTTTTTTTTCAACTTTACTGCTTCTTTAGCATCTTCATACCACCATGCAGTGTGTTTGTCCCATTCCGCCTTTTTCCACATAGTTGTTCTGTGATGTTAAGCAGGATAGTTCTGTATTATTTCCATTCATCCTCCATATTTCCCATTTCTGGTGGCAGTTGACTAAATGTAGTTTCCATCTTTTTTTGCAACTGTTCTACTACTTCTTGTTGTTTAAATTTTACTATCGTAATTATTTCCTCTTTTTTATTTGGCATTTGGTATTTTAATATTAGGTTTAACTTTTTTGTTATTAGCACTACAATCTTAGTGCTAATCTCTAGTTATTAGACTATGTGATTGGTATCACATAGTCCACTGGGGATTGCTTTTGCATCGAGGATTCTGTATCTGTCTCTCCTTTTTTTTTTGCTTTTGCATCAAGTGTTCTGCATCTTCTTTTTACTTTTGTTAATGTGTAATTGACCTGACTTTTAATAGTGATCTCATTCCATTTATGTCATGAGTCTCAATGTTCAAAAAAAGTATTAGTAATAAAAAGATAATGTTGGTTGCATAAATCCAGTATCTTTTGCCCATTCTCATTTCTTTCACACTGTTCTTAGCAACACGTGGGCCAATGAACTGCTCAATCTCTCTTCTATTACTACCCATTCTAGCACCGAAATCTCCTATTACAATCAGTACATTGTTAGCTTCCATTTTGTCTATTTCCTCAGTGGTTCATCGAAGAATTCATCCTTTTGTGTAATTATCACTACATGGGGCATATAATTGTACATGTTTCAATTTGCTCTCCTGTTTTGATTTTCAGTATTATTATTCTGTCAAGAAGAAACATGTCAGTTTAATATGAAACTTATGAAAAAGGCAATTGAAGAAAACAAAGGGATTAATAGAGCAAAATGCAAGTTTATGCATACAAGAAAGAAGGTTTGTGCATTAAAACATGAAGATGGTTCTGTATGTAGAACAAGACAGGAAATGTTAGAAATAATTGGAAAATTCTGTTCAGAGTTACACAAAGATCAAGTGCACTCAAAAGTAACAACACCCAAGAAAAAGAAAAAGTATCAAATGCCATAAAATCAATGAAAAATGGGAAAGCTTCAGGAAATGACTGTGTTACGGTTGAAATGCTAAAAACTGGTGGCCACAGTTTACACAAGAATCTAGCAAAAATATACTCGAGATGCCTAAGAGAAGAAAACATACCTGATGCATGGAAAAATGCTGAAGTGATTCTTATACAGAAGAAAGGTGCAAAGATGATTTAAAGAACTATCACCCAATAGCCATTCTTTCAGTCATCTACAAGATTTTCACCAAGAGAATAATAAGAATATTAAGAACATTAAATGATGCACAGCCAAATGAGCAGACAGGGTTCAGAAGTGGCTACAGAACAGTGGATTACATCCAGGTTATTCAGCAAGTCACTGAAAAGCACAATGAGTACACCATGCTCTGTGCAAGGCTTTTATTGACTACAAAAAAGGTTTTGACCCAACATTCCAGCAAGCAATATTTAATTGGTCAACCAAGGCATAGACGCTACTTACATAAACTTACTACAATCAGTATATGAAAAAACAATGGCAACAATTTGTCTTAATGATTTTAAAGTGGAAATCAACATAAAATGAGATGTACAACAAGGCAATACAATATCACCTATCCTTTTCTCAGCCTGCCTTGAAGAAGTGTTTTGCAAACTAGACTGGACAAAAGATAGAATAAAAATTAATTATGCCTATTTAAATCTCTTAAGATTTGCAGATGATGTTGTTTTCTTCTCACAAGACCCAGAAGAGCCACAAAGACACATACAAAAGCTGTACAAAGCAGGAGAATCATTTGGCTTAAAAATAAACCTGAAAAAGAGCCTGGTTATGTTTAATAAATTCACCAAAGAAAGAATTTTTTTTATAATTGGAGAAGAACTAGGCGCAGTCGACCATTACATATACCTTGGCTGATCGATTTCAGAGGAAAATGATACAATAAAGGAAATGGAATGATGTGTTAAATGTGGTTGGCAGGCATTCAGCAAGCTAAGCATAATTTTCAAAAACAACCTCCCCCTATGACTGAAGAGAGAAGTTTTTGATTAGTGTGTGCTACCTGCTCTAACATATGCTGGTGAAACACGGACAACCTCACAACTGATACAAAGGCTGCAAGTGGTGCACAGAGCCATGGAAAGATACTTGGCATTACAAGACAAGATAGAAAGACCTGCACATGGATTAGAGAACAAGCAAAAGTATACGATATCAAGAGAGTAAAAGAGAGTAAAAGAATTGAAATGAAAGTAGATTCAGCAAGAAGAACGGATGGCAGGTGGACCAAGGCAGTCATAGAATGGATCCCACCTGATAAAAAGCTCCCTAAAAAGAGACCTAAAACAAGATAGATCAACAACATCAGCAAGTGTTGTGGGCCCAATTGGCAAAAGAAACCTCAGGACCTTATTGGTTGGAAACATGCAAAACAGGCCTTCATCCTACAGTGGATACACAATGGCTAAAATGATGATAATGATGATATTCTGTCCGAATAGGTGTTAATGTATACAGTAGTATGCATTTTGCTATGTCTGAATCTACCAAGAAGCCCACTCTATTTTTTGCTGTGTCCCCTCCTGAGTAGATAAATATTATTTATTAATTTTATTATTTCCATGTCCTTTGTGTCTTATATAGGCTAGTCCCATTATCTTAATCTCTCTTCTTTCCATTCTTTCCAAAATTTCTGTTTTATTTCCCATGCCAGTCATATTCAAGGTTCCCATTTTGTATTTTGCTGTCCTATCTCTTGATCTTTTGACATTGCCACACTCATTTCTCATTGTATCAGTACATTTGCATCACATGTGGATTTATGTAGCTGTCTAATATTCACTGCCAGTTTGCAGGGTCTGTCGCAACTTCACCAGAGCTCCTTTAGCTCCTTTAGCCATTTCAGGCTGACCCAGGATGCCCTTCATGGCTGCCGTAATAGTATGGTGGCACCAGGCCATGCCATACTTCAGCAGTCCTAACAATCTCTTACTTTATCCTGTTACCGCCTCTCACAACAAGGACATGGGGTTGAACTCTGAGATTTTTAATATGTAATGTTGCCAAATTTAATTTTCTAATTTCAAGACGGTGTTAGGAATTGTACAGTGTATTGTAAAAAATAAGACATAAGTTGTATTTGTTCATTATGTTAGTTCTCTAATTTTTTTCTTTCCTTTGTTAGTAATGCACATAATAAACTGAAACTCAAAATTAATCTATGGATTGCCTAATCATTTAGGTTTGAGTTCTGTACTATTGAATTAATATGTCAAAGAAGATACACAGATAGATAAAGATCAGTGACCAGAAAAAAGCAAAGAGATGAAATTTCTAATGATCATACCACATGCTATGCAAATTATATAAAATCTAAAAGATTCTACCTATTCATTGAAATGTGCCAGATTATAGTTAGGATTATCATGGGTGAGTATGGCTATATAAATCTTGAGTTATTTTAGTGTTTTGTAAATTACTTACATTAATACAGCATTGCTTTGAAGTTTCTGTCTAAGCCACACAAATTCTCGGAAACGGCGTCGGACGCAAGATGTTTTTCTTGTAAAACACATGCTATTTGTCTACAGAAACACAGAATGTGTTCAATACATTAGTTGAGTTTAATGACACAATAATCTGACAATGCAAGATCTTGACAATCTGAATGGTTAGCTAATGAATGCTCCATACCTTCATTTCCTAAACTAATTCTGTGTTTCCTAACAAGCATGGGGAACATTCTGTCCCCCACTAACAAAAAAAAAAATGTTTCATGAAAATGGGGAGGATTAAAGAAAAGGATTGAAGCTAAAAATATGGCTTAAATATCTATTTCTGAAATACATATTTAAATACTTCAATTATCTTAAGTGTATGGAGAAAGGCAACAGAGTAGTGTTCTTTTCTAACTCTTTCTTCCTATGTAGTATTTTCTCTACTAATGGAACTGAAAGTTGTGAAGGGTGAAAGCCTGGCAGAAAATTTCCACTGAAGTTGCTTTCTCGTTCCATCTCTATCCACTCCTCTGCCAGTGAGAGGCTTCTTACATTTGACAAAGGATAACTCTCAATCCATAGATAGATAGATAGATAGATAGATAGATAGATAGATAGATAGACAGACAGACAGACAGACAGACAGACAGACAGACACACACACACACATACATACATACATACATACACACACAAAATTTCCCAGCCTTTCCATGGCACTAAATCTATTTCTAGATCTAGATCTAAATATATTATGAGACTTATTGGGCTCTCTTAAGGCTTCCCCCATGCTCTAAGGGATTTTGTGCTCTGCTTCTTGCCACCTACTTTGCTTCACCGCGCTCAAGCCAACCATTCACTTTTGCCATTTCCACCGCTATGTTTGACCTCAAGCACTAGAGGACTGCAGAGAGTGGAACCGGCAAAAGTAAGCAGCTGGCCTGAAGGCAATTCAAGATTTGCAAGGTTTTGTTACTAAAGCAGGATAGTCCTGTAATAAGAGCAAAGATGTTGACTTCAGTGTGAAGAGTTAAAAATTCTTTATTAGAGTTATTAGAACATAATCTAATCAAGAATATAATTCAGTAAGGCAAAAAAGAAAGGAAAACACAGAAATCAATAATCATTTATTAAACTTGCATGAAACTAAACTCTAGGCGGTTCACAAAAATCAAACAAGAAATCGCAATAAAATAACTAAAATAAAAAGCACTAATCCTCTTAATATTTTAAACCAAAGATGCACTTAGGCTTCCATCCTTGAAAAGTAGGGTCAGCTTTTTATATGCTGGCCAGGAATGATAGGCGGCAATTCAATAAATAAATAATAAATAAATAAATTTAAACTAGGAAAACTACTGTTTTGCCGTCAACCACTCTAAAGGTTCAACTTCTATTCATTTTCTAAGTCAGCCTTCCCTAACCTGTAGACTTTAAGAAAAGTATAGATCAGATTTCAAAATTCTTAAATTCCACAATTGGAATGGCTAGTGGTTCATGACCACCCTCCAAATAGTTATCACATATATAGTTCAGAGATTAGAAATGACTTAAAAACCATTTTCACAGAACAGTGTAACTACTTACATGAATGAAGATTTCATAATCTATATAGGAATGCCAAAAATCTTCCTTCTGTAACCTGGGATCTCGCACTAATACTGTTACAAATTCCTGCAAGAGCATAATAAAGCAATTAATAGACAAAGAGCCTTAACAAAGCTCTTTTCTCCACTGACTGGAAATGTTTTTGTAAATTATATGTATTAGTAATAATTCTGAAAGAGGAAAAACAACATCCAGACAAATGTAACACCAATCAACTGCTTTGAAAAGTAATGACTCATCTTTGTTGGTCTGGGAAATTTCTTGTCAACTAGCCAAGGGGGAAATTCTAAGTTAGATAATGCTGTGTATTTCCAACCAGGAAATGTATTTCTTACAAATAAAAGTTTTTGTAATTTTCAGTTAGTCTCCTTCAGGCAATAATTACTGCTGAACAAATGAAAACAAATGTCATTATTTCTTTACAGATAACTTGTCATAATACCCAGAAATACTAAATACCTTTGCTGATGCTGAAAAACAGTGTTTAAATTACTGATTAAAAAGGTATTTGTTTAAAAGTTCAATTCCAAAGTTTTAAATCTAAGTCTTGTATATTAATTGTTTAATGTATAGCAAATTGCAGTATAACCAAGAAAAGAAGAGCGCAGAAAAAAATTACTGTCGACACAACAAGGTCTAATGTGGACATGGAATAAGTCCAGAAAATGCCATCAAGTGCTGAGCCACAGCGCAAACCCAAATAGGAGAATATGCATGTATCACTAATTGGTATCCAAGCCAAGGTAGATTCTGTAGCCTTGCAGCTTTGGGTCTGTTAGTTAAGCAGTCTTTCCTCTCCCTCCAAGAATTAGGGGACAGGTTGAAGAAAGAAGCAGTCTAATCAGGATTCCAAAGGGAAGTAGACCTCTAAAGAGGGGAGGGGAAGCAACAATGGAAAAAATGTCAGTTAGTTACAAAACATGTTGACAATTCAGCAGTTTTCTTCCTGAAATATTATTCATTGTTTGCCACTCAATTCCTGCAAGCTCTATAGTATTTTTTTTTCCATTCTGTTCAATCACATCTGATTCTCAGAGACTGCCTGGACACCGCAGTTTTCTTGGCAAGGTTTTTCAGAAGTGGTTTGCCATTGTCTCCTTCCCATGGCTGCCAGAAAGTGAGTAGCCCAGGTTCACCTAGATGGCTTCATTGATGCCTTAACCACTGTACCAAATTGGTTCTCTAAGAAACCTTTAGGTAAGACTAATGCTGATGGAAGGAAAACAAAAAGTCAAAATAAATTTGGTCTTAAGGTTTATATAATATACATTTAAAGATTGGACACTATGTTTAATTAGACATTTTAATTTTACAGGTATTCCTCAACCTATGGCCGCAATGGAGTCCCCTCCCCATACTGACTGAAGTCAGATGGTTGTTAGGTGAAGCACCCATGTGATTGTCTCACTTAATGATCTCCCATTTCTGCTCTCCCCAATACAGTCATTAAACAAAGGCATGGGTTGTTAAGCAGGCAAGAGAAGCTTTGTCCCAAGGGGAAGCAATGGATGGCCTAGATCTGGTTCTGCCTTGGGTCTCCCAAAGCACCCAGAGCATTTCGTGCTCTGCTTTTCACCTCCCTTGTCCCTTGTCTTCACCACACTCAAGGCAGCCACTTCCTTTCGCCATCTCCACCACTACCTTTGCCTTCAAGTACCAGGAGAATGGCAACCAGTGGCCCCGGCAAAGTAAGCAGCTGGCTTGAAGGCACATTCATATTTGCAAGATTTTATAATAATAACAGTAGTACTGATGTACCTGGTATTGTTTTTTTGAATCTGGTTTACCATGAAGGGAAGACAGAAATCTGGGTTACAAAAATTGCCCAAAGGAGAGAAAGTCTCAATAAAGTTCATTCATATATTTACTGCACTAAGCACAACACCCAGAAAATATCATCCCTGTTCCGATTCATAACCAAATCTTTGTAAGGTACATGGTTCTCAAACTATGAACATTACAACACCAATTCGATGGATAGACCCCTTCGTTTTAATTTTTACTATATTGTTGTAAAGGAAAGAAGAGGTGATTGTGTTTGTGTGTATATTTAGCAAAGTTATTTAATATTCAAACCACAATTGTACAAATAGAAGCTATGTTTTCTAAGGGAAAAATGGCTAAGAAAAGTAATAGCAACAGGGCAAAAACACTATAATTGTTCACCTACAAGAAAAATATTTCTGTATAATCTACCAGGATCCTGTGGAAAATTAAAATGAGATGCTCGACTTAGTAGACTAGTATTGTCCCTGCTGCCAAGTAAAATTGTCAGGACCCCACTGATGGAAACAGAGAAATTTTGCCAAAACCCCTCTAACCTCTCTACTCACTATTAGGTCAGAAATTTTACTTGGGGAAAACTTACTTTAAGAAAGTTTAAAAAGTATATTTTAAAGAAATATACATGGCAGAGGTGTCTAGCTTTTCTTTGCTTTCAAACCTTAAGAAACAGAAAGTGTCAGTGAAATTTCCTCTGATTGCAACCATACTTTCAAAAGCTGTATGGCTCTAAGCATTTCATATTTTGCCATTTCTTCAGAGTAGCAGTTACACAATCTTCTTCATGTCCTAAGATGCTACCAAAAATATCTGAAAAGGGGAAATTGAATTGCAAGGTTCATTCATAGCAGTTGGGCACATTTCCACTTTCACTGAGGCAAAAACCAGTTTAGTGTTGTACTTTTAAAATGTAACATTGTAGTGCTTACCTGTTTTTCATGCTTTGGGGTCATCTTCAAAGCCGTATGTAATCTAAAACATAAAAAGTAGTAAATCCTGGTTAAACACAACTGAAGGAATTGGATCACTTTTTAAATGTTTGCAGTTTTCTTGGCATGATTTTGGAAGTAGTTTGTCATTGGCTGCTTCTTGGAGCTGAGAAAGACTGACTGGCACAAGGTCATCAAGCTGGCTTTGTGTCTAAAGTGGAACTAGAATTCAGGGTTTACTAATTTGTAGCCTGGTGATAGCTACTATATCAAACTAGCTCTCTCTTCAGAAATACACTATCATCAAGTGTATTTTGCCAATTCTGTACTCTGGACTGGTCAGAGAAGTAAAATGAAAAGATAACTGTTGAATCCCATATTGCCATGAAGCTCTCTCTCTAAATGGCTTTGTCCCAGTTATCTTTTCTCCTATTTCATATGGTTATTGTAAAGATGAAGTACACTGCCCAAAGCATTTTGGAAAAAAATTAATGTAATAAACAAAAATTAAAAGCACTGTTACTCCCCGTGCTGGATTATTAGGTATTTTAAATATCTCCCTGCCATATATCATGCAATACACACCTGTTGAAAAAAAATCAACAAAATGAAATAATAAACATGTAAAACAATAGAATATAATAGAAAGTCGTACTAATGATATGACATTTTCTGAAGATAGCTCAAAAATACTATTATGTACTCTTAAATTCCAAGGGGAAAATATATTTTTAGCATACATCTAATTGTACAAAAACTGGTGCATAGTTCATGGGCAGAAAATTTTTTATTAAAAAGACAGACTTTAAATGAATATGATATCTTTGTAGCCCTTATTCAAAAATGAGATTCCTCTCTCTTTCTTGCAGTCAAAATATATAGTGTACAGTCAACCTCTATCAGAGCAAACAGGAATGGAGTTTCCCTTAACATTTCCCTTTCTTTGCACTGGGAACACTCAGGGAACACAGATAAAAACACCCAAACAGCCACATGCTTACATTGTTTTCTTGAGATATTAGGCTGAATTTATATGCTCCACCATGCACACTAGTTTGTCTCCAAATCATGGTGGGAAGTAATACATCAAAATGAATCAAAAATTACATTAACCGTGGGCAATAAAAAAGAAAGAGGTATGCTATGCCACCCTCTTACTGCAATCGAAGATATCTGCTCTTGGATAGAAGACAACAAATGTTGGTTATCCAACACTTGTAAACATTAGAAAATATTGGCATGTTTATTATTTCATTGGCCCAAATTTCTGGCCAAACATCACTTCATGCTTCAATTAACCACATGCTGGCTGAGGAATTCTGGAAGTTATGTCCACACATCTTAAAACTGCTCAAGTTTGAGAAACACTGTCCAGAATGCCCTTTAAGCAGTTGTTGCTCCCTTATCTATGGTGAAGAAGCTATGGAAACTTCCAAGCCACTTTGTAATGAACTATATTAACTCCCTGACTAGCCAGAACAGCTTCAAAATGGTACAGTGAGTATAACAGACCTGCTGTCTTCACCAGCCGAGTATATATCTCCAAGACATCACATCTTTTTTTATATGTCCTAACCAAGTACCATCTCAGTACTAATCAGTTATGAGTGATTTAATCTTTCTGAAGATTGCCCCCAAAATAACTATAACAAATACTGATTTGCTGTTTTTCAATAGCAAGGTATTTTCTATCTAGGTAGCATTGTATATCTAGACTGATCCTTGGCCTATCTATCAGAATGGTTCTTCCAGACTGGGTTTTTTGTAGCCCTCCTGAAAATGCCACTGTTCAGACATAGGATCTTGTACATGGAAAGTACATTCTAACCACGTCTTCTACACTTAGTGAAAGCAAGAGCTTTTTGCAGAAGTGTTCAATCACATTCTTTGCAAATGCAGCTTAATTATGTTTGCTTAGTCCTTAGTACTGAAAAGATTAAAAACACATCCCAGCCAGTTTTCAGCTGAGTGCAGAAGTAAACAAAATGTTCAGGAACTGAATTAAGAGCATAAGCAAGCAGAGTTTTAAAATAAAACACAGGTACTAGAACAAGAAATGCTTTATCACCATAAAGCAAAAATTATTAATGCCATTGTACATGAAGTTTCCAGCAGGCTGGTACAATAATGATCATGAGACACGAGCCTGCTGGACTTATTCATTGTATCTTGTGACACACTAAGTATCATGAGTACTACACAAAGTAACTTGGAAAATTGTTGCTAGTCCCCCTCCAAAATCTTCTGATATCTATTTCATGATAGCTATCCAGCCAGCATTTACTATTTTGTTCCATTGGGGATGGGGCAGTAATTGCATGACGGCCAAAGTAGGTTCTTGTATCATCTCAAATAGGTTGTGGAAAGCATATTTTACCAAGAGCTTGTTTGGTTCTATATAGCAGCGGTCCCTTTTTGGCACCAGGGATCAGTTTTCTGGAAGACAATGTTTCTACGGAACAGGAGAGGAGTTTTAGTTTCACTGGCTTGCCTTCTCCAGCTATGTGGCCCAGTTCCTAACAGCTCATGGACCTATAAAGAAACCCACATTTATACCCATGAGATGGAAAACTGAACATGCAACACACAGCTTAAGTTGGTCTTAATTTTGGTCCACATATCATGGCAAAACCATGGACAGAACAGAAAAAGTCCAAAACAAACCATGGTTTCATACTGTCTTTACTTTGTCTTTACTTACAATCTTAACATGACTTCCCAATTCTCATGTAATGCTACGTTCAACCACAACAGATATCACGAACAGGAGCAATGTGATTGATAATAGTTTAATGCTGAATGGTAAAATTAGATTTTATATTGGTTAGACAACTACTGTATTTCTGTATGACCTTCTGGCCTGCTTCCCCCCCTTTTTTTTTTCCTCCTCCCAGAGTGGAGAGATTGCCTAAACATATCTTTCTGAGCTGCTTTTCTTCACCTCAGAACTGATTCCTAAAAAGCTGCAAGTTAACAAAATCAGCTAGTACCTTAACTTGTGGGTTAGAAAGTTTGGCCCATTCACAGCTACTATGTGAAACCGACAAGACCCTAATCAATTTCATCCTAAAAGCTTTTGCTTGCCTCTTAAGTACTAGGTAAACAGCTGGTGCTAGCACATTCCTTTCAATGTATAGTTCCCATAGTGTGCTTTCTTATTTCTTGCAATATCCACCTGTCCAATGAGTTTAAATATAAACATTAATTTCCATTTGATAATTATTTCAGCATTGGAGTTAGGATTTTGAAGGGCAGGAAAGAATGTGTGTGGTGGGGGAGGCTATAAGAGTTACCTTTTCCCCAACTTCTTATAACTGTTTCAAAAATCTTTCCCAGTTTGGGCTTACCCTACTTTTTGGGGTTCACTCAGTTGACTGGAGTCATATTTTTTCTGGTGCTATAAATACAGATAATTCTTGGCTTATAATCATTTGTTTAGTAACCATTCAACGTTACTAAACAAAACTTACTGTGGCACTGAAAAACATCATTTAAAGCTGACAATTTCCTAAACTTGGCAATTTTCAGATGTATAGACTTCAACTCCCAGACTTACCCAGGTAGCAGGGCAAATTTTATCAGATATATATTGATGGTCGTGCTCATTTGGTTCTATGAGGAAGTTATTTGGTCAATACAGTTTCAGGTTCAAAAGGTTGTTTTTATTATTTACAAATATATACATGCATACGATAATGAACAGGGTGTCCTGTTACATTTTTACTCTAACTGTATGACTCAGATGTTGAGAGGAGAGAGAAGTTCACGTGTTGTCTCTCTGAGAGATAGATAAGAGAGAGAGAAAAACAGGGGAAGATATCCAAGTGGTTTCTAGGTAAGAGTCCATACAGCTTCAGGTTCAAAAGATTGTTTTTATTATTTACAAATATATACATGCATACAATAATGAACAGGGTGTCCTGTTACATTTTTACCCTAACTGTATGACTCAGATGTTGAGAGGAGAGAGAAGTTCATGTGTTGTCTCGCTGAGAGATAGATGAGAGAGAGAGAAAAAGGGGAAGATATCCAAGTGGTTTCTAGGTAAGAGTCCAATAAGAGAGTTCATTGGCTGATATAGTCACATGTGATGTCTGTAAAGACTTAACCCCTTCTAGTCTCTGGTGCATCATATGCGGCAATATCTGACAAATTTGAAGTCCATGCATCTAAAAGTTTCCAAGGTTGAGAAACAATGTTCCAATATATAAAGCAAAGGACCCAATGTGACTCTTTTATATCCCTAGCAAAAAGGTATAAAAGGGAAAATTCCGTTGTTTTGAGGAATAATGCTGATTTTAACTATACACTGCCCAGTGAGTTTCAAGTTGAATTACCTTCATTCAATCATAATTCTAGTTTAAAATTCATAATTTTAAACAATTGTAATTTTAAGTTAATTTAAACAAATTATTTTATATGCTTCTCATTTTTTTAGTTTTCATTCTTAGTTTATGCTATTGAATAAGGAAGGAATGAATATGTTTCAATAAGCAGGGCTATTGCCAATGAATTCTGTACTTCCTATCTGAAAAATATTCAAAGAGGATATACTCATGCAATGTGGTGTTTAGGACTAAAAATACTAAGAATTTCTTTTTGTTAGACAAGCAATTGTTAAAACATTTCTGAACATTGTTTTGGAAATATAAAAATATTTATGGATGAAAGTTATTTAATTTCTCCTTAGATTCTATCCATTCAATCCAAGAGGTACCAAAAGAATGATGTTGACGTAATTCCAACATCATACATTCATGTGACAATAGCAAACAGCATTTTCACATTCTTTTGGTAGTTAGCCAGAGAAACACTAATTTATGTTGTGCTTATGCAAGGACTAAGGAAGTAGAACCTCAAAATAAGATAAGTTTCAAAGGAGAACAAATAAAACATTTTAAGTAGGTAAATTATATCGAATTGCTGTGTTTCTATATCCACTCATCATTAGGCCGTTTCATAATTCATAAAGTAGAAAATAAATATCAAAACAATATTTTGTAAACCAACAGAAATGAAAGCAGGTAGACACGTGCTAGCCAT